AAACCACATAAAGTCCCAACTAGAAAAGAGAGGTACAGGCCAGTGTTGTTAATAAACATAAATGTAAAAATCATAAAGTTATTAGTAATTAGAAAGTAGCACATTATTAAAAAGTTCATACACCATGATCAGTTAGGTTACATCCCAGAGGTTCAAGAATGGTTCAACATGAATAAGTCTGTAAGTGTACTACAACACCTAAACAAGAGCACATGGTCATATCAACAGATGGAGAAAAATCCAACACTCTTTCACAATACAATCCCAGAAGAAAACAAGCATAGAGGGACCAGATCCCAAAATGAGTAAGATGACTTAGGACAAACCAAAGTCTGGCATCATACTGAATAGGGGAAAACAAAAAGCATTTCCCCTAAATCATGAAAAAGACAAGGATGTCCACTATCATCTCTCCAGTTCAACATAGTACTTGAAGCATTGTCCAGAGCAATTAGGTAAGAGAAATTAACAAAAGATACTTATATAAGAATTATCATTATTTTCAGATGACAAGAGACTCTATAGAGAAGACCCAAAAACCTACATGAACAAGCTCTTGGACATAATCATCACTTTCAGCAAAGTAGCAGAACACACGATCAGCATGCAAAATTCATTAATGTTTTTGATTACCAACAATGAATAGGATGAGAAGAAAATTCAGAAAGTAATACAGTTCACAGTTGCGTCAACACAAATGAAATACATAGGGACTAACCTAACCAAAGAAGTGAAATATCTCTATGAAGACAACCACTGTAATGTGAAAAGGAGATTGATGAGGACAACAGGCATAGAAAGATGCACATTGCTTCTGGATAGGCAGAACCAATATTGTCAAAGTAGCTACATTTGAAAAGCTTTTAATCATACGCATTGCATTCCTAATAAAATACCAACAGCTTTACTCTATAGCTCTAGAGAAAACAGAAAACCTATATAGAACCAGAAGATGCAGAAGAGCAAAGTATTTCTGGACAATAAGACAAAAGCAGGTGGCATAGTGATACTTGACTCCAAGCTATGCTATAAAGCAACAATGATAAAAATGTCACGGTGCTGGAACAAGAATAGACATGTGGATCAGTGGAACAGAATTAAGGATACAGAAACCTTCCCAGACACATTCAACCATTTGATCTTTGACCAAAGGACAAAAGCACATGTTGGAAGAAAGACAGCATTTTCAACAAGTGGTGGTAGGAAAACTGGTTTTCAGAAAACTTCTTTTCAGAGGATGAAACTGGACCCTTAACGTTCACTATGTAGTGAATTAAAATTGCAATTGATTAAAGATGTGAACATTAAAAGAAATACTAACCCTTCTGCAAGGTGAATTAGATAAAATTCCTTAAGACATAGATGTAGGAAAGGAATTTCTAAACAGAAACTCAGGTACAAAAGAAATAGCAGCAACAGTCAACAAATGCGATTACATCAGACCACAGAGCTTCCTCCCCTACAGCAAAAGAATCAACTAATGGCTGGAAGAGAAGACTTACAGAATGGGGGAAAAAAACTTTTCACAGCTGTTTTTCAAACAGAGGACTAATATCTACAATACACAAGAATTAAAAAAAAAAAAAACTACAATTAGAGACCCAGTCAAGAAATGGGGAAAAGCAAAAGAAATTTGCTGGAGAAATGAACAGATACTCTCCAGTGGAAGAAATACAAATGGGTAACAATTATACAAAAAAAAAAAAAAAAAAGTCCAACATCTCTGTGTATCAGAGAATATTAAATTAGAACAACACTAACATTTCATCTTACTCTGGAAAGAGTAGCCATCATTAGGAAACCAAACACTGAAAAATGTTTGGCTATGGCAAAATAGGAACCCTCTGAATTGCAAGTGGGAACACAAACCAATGGAAATCTCTATGGAGATTTCTCACAGAACTGAGATGAGAAATTCCACATGACTCAGCTGTCTCTCTGCTAGGTACCCTCCACAGCGATTTTAAATCCTCACACTACAGTGAACTTTCAAACAAACATGTGCAGCACAACAACACGTAATATGATTGACCAATGAAAATGAGGTGTCTATATATAGTGAAATGATACTGTGACATAAAGAATGACAAATGTGAAGCATTTTCATGAAAATGGATGTACCTGGAAAATAGATTAGTGAAATAAACACAAAAAAACTTGAATCTCTTATGATATCTCTCATTTGAGCGAAGCAAAGTACAAAAGAAAAACAGAAAACGACAAAGGAAGGACAGAAGGGGACAAGGGGACTTATGTCATCCAACAGGGAAATTGTCCGAAGAAATAAGGAGAAGGGTGGGAGGAGGGGAAGAGAAATGAGACGAGTAAAGATGTGCTGGGTACAGGACCGCAGAACTCTACTGGAGGGGAGCATTCTGTGACATAGCATGAGCTGAGACAAATAATATCAACAAGCTTGTAAGAAATGATAGGGCAAGAGGGGAGAGGGGGCCAGGAGGGAAGAGGACGGAGCTGGGATACAGAGCTCTGGCGGGTACAGGTGATCGCTCCCAATATGGGCAATGAAAACACACACTAATAAAATTAAGTTACGTTTTAAAAAAGAAAATGAATATAAAAGGACGTGTACAAAACAGTATAATATTACAACAGGGGATCTGTGTGGCATTATGAAAATCAAATAAAAAAACTAAAAAAGTTTGCATTCTCCTCCATTTCCAAGAGAAATTCTTTCTCTGTCTTTAATCTTAAACCTTTTAGATCCTTGAGCTTCCTCTTAGTTTTATAACCCAAACACATCTTCCTTAAGGCCCTGGGATCCATCAGATGAGAGCTTACGCCCAGTGAAGAGAGAGCTACTAACCCTCTTCACTGTGCAGGGGAGCCCTGGGACCGCGCACTCCAAGCCATGTCTGTCCGTGTAACATAAAAGCCAGAAAAGTCCTATTTCCCTTTGGGAAAAGCAAGTTCACTGATATCGATGGCTGCTTCACTGTCAGGATGAATGTAGGGAGGAAGATGTGCAGTAAAATGTGTTTCCTGTGCTCAGCAAGCACAGGTATCTTTTCTGTAAGAACACATCTCCAGGGCTCAGTAGACTGGGGGATTCCTTTGTGTCACAGCAATGATGTTCCTGGTTTTTTGATATTTAATCAGTTTTGTTAGCTGATTACTCAGGCTGTGCATCCCACTTGGCTTTAACACTTAACAATGCTGTTTAGTTCTTTCTACCCTGTGGAAGGCACTTTTGTAGTGGGCAGGAGGTCCTGTCATTTAATGATTTCCAAGAATTAAACACAGGAACTCTTCTAGCTGTGTTCAGCAGAGCAGGCGGCCTGGACCATGTGCAGCTGGGGTGGGCAGGGCAGGCAGTGGGACTGCGCTGCTACCCTGCCCTGCAATGGCTCAGCAGCTGGGTCAGGACTGACCTGAAGCCCTAGACACACAGCTGGTGCTGAGGAATTTCAGAGTTGGGGAGTTTTAGGAAAGGAATAAAGGTTACCCAGCAGCCAGCACAAACACCCAGAGACTACGGTGCCAGATGTGAGAAACATGTGTAAAGTTACCACTGAAGTTAAACTCAGGTATTTTACAAACATCAAATGCTTAACCACAAGACCTGTTCACAATGAAAAGGAAACACACACGCACACACACACACACACACACACACACACTCACAAGAATGTTCAAAATCTATGGACAAAAGTCAGAAGTAGACATTTCACTTGTTGGATTTTAAAGTGCATTCCCAAAATTTAAAATATGTTAACAGTTGCTATTATTATTAGGGTGATACTAGGTTAGCACACTGTGACCAGGAATCCTTGAGGAAATGCATCACTGATACAACATAAACGTTCCATATCTAAAATGCTTCAGGTAAGATTTTAGTTTTCAGAGACTTGTGGGCTTTGGAATGTTTTCTAGGAATGCGGAAAAGCTAGTTTTATAATTCAAAATTGTCTTTTAAATTTTACCAAATTATGTTTATGTTGTTTTATTTCACAGTAGCATATATTTCACTAAAATAATTATAAAGCTCATCTGTTCGGCTGTCCTGATATTTCACTTTCACGGTGTTTTTCATTTACATTGAGTGTCATATTTATTTCAATCAATCCCTGTCCACAGAGCAGGTATCATAAATCAAGCCAGATTCCATATCAGAAACACAACTTAATCTTATGAACTTACACTCTTTTTAAACCTGGAGCCATTGTTAAAAGAACTCAAAGACGGATCCCAAAAGGGTCAGAAATGGCAATTCCAGAGCTGTGTGCACTGTGACCCCTTCTTTTCACAGCCTTATGTGAAATTTTAAAAGAATAAAGTGTGACATAATATCTTTAAAAACAAAACAGAAGACACATGGAAGACCCTGTCAAAGGTGCCCTAGCCCTGTGGGCTGAGCATGGCCCCGGGCTCAGGTCCTACTCTGGCTCCTAAGCAGGGGGTAACATATGACCTCAGGGAGATTCATGCAGTATCCAGAGTCAAATTAAAAACAAATTTCACTGCTGTGAGCACAGGTTCCCTACAGTGAATGCGAGCATTATGCGTGTTCAAACTATACCAATAAGCTTAATTATAATGGCCAAACAAACTTTAAAAAAAAAAAAAAGTTGAAGTGGGGAAAAAAAAAAAAAAAGGAAATAGGGCTCCTGCAATTAGCCAGGGGAAGGAAAAACCATTTAGGAAGTGTTGTGTACATGTCCATATCTTCCAGAATGACTGTGATTACTATGGACTACAAAAAAGTAATAATAAAATATAAACTTAAAAAATAAGGAAAAGATGAGGTGCAAAACTAAAAAGAATTACTCATAAAAGATTATTTGAGCATCTTAATTTATTCTGCATTACTAAAAAGTATGTTTGAGGACCTGCAGCTGAAAAGCAAGGAGAGAGGAAAGGGGAGAGGACAAAGAGGGCAGCCCAGGACAGGCCCAGACCCTCAGGGGCAGTGCAGGCCGAGCCTTCTGTGCAGGGGGAGGGAGGGGAGGACGGTCCAGCCCGCCCAGCTCCTCCTTACTCACCTGTTCCTGGCCAGGGCAGCAGCATCCAGAGCAGGAGGGGCCTGAAGCTCAGGGCCCAGGGCTTCATTCCAGGAGGCTCAGGGGGATGTGGGACACTGTCCTTGCTCTGTCACAGCTGTTGTCCAGGTCAGACTGTCACGGTCATTCTTCTGCTGAAAAAAGGGAAATATGAGTCCTGGATAGAACACCTCAGTGAGGGGTGTTGGAGCAGGGTTCAGTGCTCTCTAGCTTCTCATTTATACATTAAAGGAGAAATGAGAAGGAATGCAGTTTGTAACAGAGTGGCTGATAACACAATGAACCAAAAATATCACTGTGTAAGAAAACACGGACTCTAAGCAATTTTTAGTTCTATAACTGTTTTTATTCTGAATTAAAATTGGAAACTAATCACTCAGTCTTTCTAATATTCAACATTGTCAGTCATTAAGAAACTCCAACATCTAACCTTACAGGTAAACACTACACAATTATGAAGCAGAAGCACAGAAAGGAAATCTATAAGGACTTTCACATGCTGGCGGGGACTGGAGCAAACGCTGGCCTGCTGCAGGGCTGATTGCCCAGCGCCCTGCAGCACAAGGCTTATCATTTCTTATCAGCACTCCCTTAGCTTCAGTTTCAGGTCCAAACATGACCAGGAACTCGTCTAGTAGTTTTGTTCAATTTCTGGAAATGTAAAAACAGCCCAGAAATGTCCCATGATGAGCACAGGTATCTGCTCTGCTCCAGATGGAGAATCCTGGGAGATGGACATCAGCACCAAAGCTGCCCCACAATGTGCTGTGTGGAGTGGACAGAGCCCGCTCCAGGTGCAGGCAGGGGGGTCCATTCCCCTGAGCCTGTGTGCAAGAAACTCAGGGGCAGCAGGGAGGAGACCTGGGCACAGAGGGAGGATGGGTGGGGACAGCAGGGCAGCCCTGGGGCCAAGGGGACATGGAGCTGCTGTGAGTCCTGATGGGGGAGGAAGTCACGGAAATCTGACTTGGGAAGGGATGGACACACTCACAAGCACAGGGACACGAGCAGCCCATGATTCTGGGTTAAAGTTTATACAATACTTATTAAAACATGGTGTAAAAATAAAAACAGACTGAAACAAAAAAGTCAGCAATGCCAATAAACCTCACAGCCTCCCAGCAATTCTGTTAAGGAACACAGCCAGGAAACCACTTTCTTCTCTCATGGCCTTAAAAACACAGAGAAGGTACCCATCCCACACACTCAAGGCTCTGCACAAAGCACTATGCATGGTCAAAGATCTTGCCAAGGAGGAGTCACCACACAAGGACTCTGGGTAGGAGAGCAGCAGCAGAGTTACTCCCAGCAGGGCCCCCAGGAAGCTGCTCCAGGGTAGGGACAGCAGCTGAGCTCAGGGGCAGCCTGTGCCCACAGGAGGGAGCTGGGTTTCCTTTCACCCTGTGGATGGCTCCTGGGAACCAGGTCCTGGGTTCTGGACACAGGTCAGTCCTAGCTGTGTGGCGTCTGGTGTCAGGAACACAGGGCAGGTCTGAGGTAGCCTGATAAGGAGAGAGCTTGGGTGCGGACTCAATCAGCTCTTCAAGACCCCAAAATGATATGCTCTTGCCTGAGTTTCAAAATAATGAGAATTCAACATTTTTTTTCTTTAAAAGAAACTATAATATTAGCAGCACTTCTATGTCCTATTATTGGGCCCTATCTTAGTTACTTTTTTACTTGTCATTGAGACAAAATACCTGATGACTAAAGCTAGGAAAGGAAAGGTTTATTTCTTACAGTTTTTGGAGGTTTCAGACTGTTGGGAGCCGCAGCCCCGAGCCCGGTCGCCTCACTTGGCGGACGTGAGGCCTGTAGGAAAGAGCAAAGCCTGAGGTAGATTCCCCCTCCCATCGAGCACGTTAGTTTCCTGCTTACCGCGTAAGCAACCCGCTCAACAATATAGTCTGCCTGGCAACTGATGATGTTAGCCAATCAGCTTGCCTTGCTCACTTTAACATGATTGGACACTGTATCCGTATATATACTGGTGCCACCCCTGGGGGGAAGAAGAAGCCCGGAAGTAGAAGCCCAGAAGGAGCCGCGGAGAGCGGACCGGTAGAGGCTTCGGAGCGAAGCCCGGAAGGAGCCGCGGGGAGCGGACCAGAGGAGGCTTCGGCTGGGAGCGATCCCAGGGCAGGCTGTACGGAGAAGAAAAATAAAAGAAAAGGTTGTCCACTGCCAGGCTTTGTCGTGTGTCCTTCCTGCCGGCCGGGAGCGGACATCGACATCAGACCACACTCAGTTGGCTCCAAGGCAGGGTGGCATGGTGGGGCCACAGTTCATGGTGGCTGCAAACAGCAAGACAGAAACCCGCAAGAGAGCAATACACACCTTCTTCCACCCACTACATCCTGGCTCCACCATCACATCCTGGCTCCACCCCAAGGTGAGTGTAGCACTGACATCATCAATCTAAGCTCTAGACCATGAACCAATCATAGATGCACAATGCAAATGCATGAGGCCTGGGGGCCATGATCATAAACCATGACATCTATGTACATCCTTTATAAAAAAGACATTTAGTCTGTCTTCGAGAGTTGCCAAATTCCTAACAATTTCAGCATTGCTGAAAAGTCCAAGTCCCAAGTCTCCTCCAAGATCTATGGCAAACTCTTAACAGTAATCCCCTGTCCAAATGAAACAAAGTTAAACATTTCTGAAATGCAAAGGCCCTGGGCACCCTCAGCAGGACAAACAGGCTGCACGAACCAGGGGGCGGGGCCTGGGAGCCAGGGGACCCCAATGTGCAGCCCAAGCTAGAGATCCCAGAGCCTTGGCTGCTCTCCCTCCCTGACTGCCTGCCCTGGCCTCGGCTTCCCACTCCTCCTTTTCCCCTCCCACTCTGCCTGGGGAGTCTAGCAGGGCTCTTACCCTGTATCTAATAGGGTTCAACTGGTTGAGGGCATCAGAAAATCTCCTCCAGTCCTGTGTTTATTCATCCAAATTTTAAGTTTATTGAGCTCACAGCCCCCAGCCTGCTCACCACAGAAGCTTAACTCTTTGCAGGGAACTCAGCTCAGCACCCAGGCAGTCACTGGCAAACTCAAGAAAGGAGGTGAGACAAGGGAGATAAGATAAGGAAAAGATAGTCTGTGGGTCCTGGAGACATCTAGAGACACTTAGGAACTTATAAGGCGCCCTTCAAAGGACTCTGCTGACTGAGATACAAGATGGCCAGGAAAATGTAACCGCACATCTTCCTGCCTACTGTCCCTGCCTTCTCCCCATCCCTATAAAAGGGACACACTTCTCTTTGGGGCAGGAGGCCTTATGTTCTTTGCCTGAACCCAGGCACAATAAAAGCCATGCCATGTGGTGTTTAAAAAAGCCTCCCATTCTCTTTTGCTTACTTATATCACATTTGAGACACAGACACTGCTTCTTTTTCTAAAGCATCCAGGTCCAGAGTTCTATATTGATGCACGGTCCCCTAAATATGTTTTCTAACATGTTCCCAGAGGTGAGCAGGCCAATGAAAGAGAAAAAAAATATGAGATGCCCCAAATTAATGAAGGACAGGTTTATTTAGCTTACAGTTTATGGAGGTCTCAGTCTATACTCAGCTAGCCCTAAAGCAGGGTAGCGTAGTTGAAAGGCAGACATCATGGTGGTCACAAGGGACAAGAGTAAAAGGGCAAAAGGGAAGAACACACCTCCTTCCCTCCCTGATACTGTATGCTGAAAACCTGTCCCTAGGCAAGTGTAGCCCTCATATATCACCAATGGCAGTGCTAGACAATGAAGCAGTTATGAATATTGGATTCAAAAGACTCCGTGACTGCAGGAGACTTGAGAGGGACAACCAGACATAAAGCATAACAGCCAGAATAAAGCTAACAATCCAGCACCCAGGATTTGGCTCAGTGGAACAAGCACCTGCCTAGCTAGAGTGAAGTTGTGAATTTGATTCCTGATACCCTTCCCCCAGTAAAAGATAAAAATCCAGCTTTTTATGTGCCAGCTGACAATACCCTGACAAAGTATACTACCCTCAATTCAGAAAGCCTAGAGGAACAATTAATTCTCAAAATACATTTTATCACCAAATCAGGCCCTGAAATTTGGAAAAAAAAAATCTCCAAATAATCAAGACTGACCCTTAAACTCCCCCAAAGAGGAAGTAGTCTCCTAGGCTTTCAAGGTCTATAATAACCGATAGGGTGCTCCCCACCATCAGAGCATGGCCCTCCTGGTCACTGTACTCACGCTCTAGAAGCCCTAAAAATAACCCCATTACCTTATACTCCCTTCTCTACATCTGAGCTCTCCTCAGCATCTCACATATCCCCCACCTACTGCCTGCCCCATGACTCACACAACTCCATCCTCTCATCTGTGAGACCCTCACCATTAGTTAGCCGCAGGCCCTCCCTCCAACCCAGCAGATGCCCTAATTTCACTGCAAACAACAGATAGCAACTCCAGCCCTCCTGGGAACATGACTGCCCCTCCCTCCTGCATTTACACACCAAGCTACCACACATTTCAGGCCTTCTTGTACCTAAGCCACAGCACACTTGGCTCAGAGACTGCAGCTCCCCAAAGGCCTCCACCACATGGGCAACGAAAACAATACACAATAGTCACAACTAACCACAGTAATCAGAGCTCCAGCTCTTCCCTCAGGACCACCTCACAGCAGGCTGAACTCAGCCCTGACTGGAGCTCTCACCCTAGAAAAAGGGACAGCAATTAACATTTACACAGACTCGGAGTGTGCTCTCAACATACTACCATGTAGCAATCAGGACAGAAAAGGGATTTCTCACTACTAGGGGATCCTCTGTGGTCAATTCCAACCTGAAAAAGACACTCCAGGGGCAGTGCTCCTGCCCACTTAAGCAAGAGGTCACTGCAAGGGACATCAAACACTCACATCCCGTGTAACACCAGGAAACTTCTTTGTAGATCAGACAGCAAAGAAGATGGTTGCCTCCCACAAGTCTCCACTGCCTCTCAGGGCCAATACTGCTCCTCTGTAGGCTTCACCGCAGTTCTACCACAGAAGAACAGATAGCACTACAGCCACAGCTCACTTCTGAGAGATGGTTCCTTGACCAAGGGAGCTATCTCCTCCCCACCTCCAACTCACCACGTTTCTTCCCTCCAGCACAGCTATCATAAAGGCTACAAACCCCTCATCTCTGCCCCCTCCTGGAGGACAGCTGTCAGACAGATCACTACATACTGTTCTGTCTGCCACTTGGTCCCCCACTCAGGGCTCCCTTCATCCCTTTCCTTGCCCCATTCACCAGCCCTCAGGATTCCCAAGACTGGCAAATGACTTCACAAACATGCCAAACATTTATTAGATATCTCCTAGTCTGATAGGCACCTTTCCTAGGGATGGGGAGGAAACATCTTCCAAATGAGGGGAAGCCCTGGTTGCTCACCATTCTGGGCCCCTGGTCTCAATCTCTGCACTGTTGTTTGTTGGGCTTTGCCTAATGAGATTTATTACAGATTTCATCCAAGGACAAGGCTGACCCATGACAGCCACACAACTCCTCCCAATGTCTCACTGCACTGCTGTCCCACAGGAAGCCCACGCTGATCCACACCAAGACTCTGCCTACCACAGCAGCCTCCAGTCCAGTAGCCCCAGCCATTTTCCTCTGTGTGTTGCCTACACAGCTCTCAGTCACACTGAAGAAGCCTTGAGAAACTACACCCCTAGGTCTCTCTCTATTGCACAGCAAAGAGGGAGAACAGGTTTCTGAACTAGACTCCGGCCACCTAGGAGACAGAAACCCCCCACCCCCAGCAAGCTTGTTATTCAACTCTGAGAGAGCAGTGAGAATCAAGAAGCTAGTAGCTTCCTCTTTCAGCTCCACCAGCAAGCAGCGTCCCCCACACAGCTCAACCTGCAGAGCTAATGCCCCCAAAATCCACAAGACACACGTGGTGCCTGCCAGCACCCCCTGTACCCAACACTGCTCTATCTATCATACAGGGGGCGTTACACCTACTCAGAGACTCAAAACTACGTGCTCCCCTGGGCAAGGCCTCCCACCCCTATCTTATCACCCCTATATGATAAGTCCTCACCCCTCAGGGTCAATGGTCTTTTCCCCCTTGGCCTGACCACATTTGCTCACTTCTTGCTTCAGCCTTGCCTGTCTCAGTGGTCTCAGCAGAGTCCCGGTTAGCCTAAAAACCTTGATTATCTGTCAGCCAATCCTGGGCTCCAGCAGGAAGTTGATAATTGGACTGTGTGTCCTATTTTCTACACGCGATGCAGGTGAATAGCATGAGAGATGCAGTTTCAGGCAGCGCTGTCCTGCACCTCTAATAATCACAAAGGACCAGGCTCACTGCTCTCCTGGCCTGGCTCCGTGGCCGCTCACCCCGGAGGGCAGACACACTGTCCTTCAGCCACCTGTGAGCCCACGAGCACCCGCCCTCCTCCCCGTGTTACCGCTGGCGAGGGGTTTCCTGGTTTATTGTCTGGTGTCCTCCTCAGCACGGGCCAGCGAGGGGAGCCGGAAACGATAGCTGGCTGCAGTTTCGCGCATAACGTTTGCGCTCCGCGTTAGGCGAGTCTGTAAAACTCCCACCGTGAAAAAGGAGGATTACGAGACAACACGAAACAAAAGTTCCCTCGGCTCGGTGACTTCTCCTCAATATGTGACAGTTTCAGGGCGCACATTACAAGTGCTCACCCTGGGAGTCTCTGAGACAAGTCCGGTGTGAGCGCTGGAGCTGAGTACAGGGAAGGGCTGCTCTGGGGAGCTGGAGCTGGCACCTCCTGAGGGCTCTGCCCTCAGCTGTGTGGTGAGCAGGACTCAGGCAGCACTTTGTCCTGAGCCTAGAGAAAGGGTCGCCAGAGCAGACACCCACACCCCGTGAGCTCTGCAGCAAGAGGCTGCCTCCTTGCTCCATTTAGCAAGGATAATTTTTCCCACTCTTTCAGATATGGAAAACAAAGGTTTGCCCTGCTGGCCAAAGTTTTTGTTTTATTTTGTTTTAAATTAAAAACGCCCACATTTTTAATGAACATAACGTAAACTTGATTCTACTGAGCTTGTCACTTTTAATGGGAACAAATGCTGTCTCTAAAAGGCAGGGCCCGCTCTTTACCTCCAGCTCCCGTATGGTGCCCACCAGGGAGCCCCGCCGTCTCTCCAGGCTTAGTCTCCCAGGGCTCACCGCGCTTTCCGCCCCCATTGAGCCTGCCCAGGCTCGGACCGCTGAGAGTTGCGCAAGAGTCTCATACCAGGAAGGCTTCCTGCCCCTGCTGTGCTGTGGGTCCAGCCCCGCCCCCCCCCAACAGTTGCTCTCTAGCTCTTTCTAGAGTGGGTGCTGCAGGGAACTGAAGACAGCTGGGCAAGCAGCTCAGCAGCCGGAAGCAAGGGGCTGTGTGTGTGTTTAAGAGCCTGCCTGCGTTTGATGGAGTCTGGGGGTCCAGATAGTGCACTAGGGTGACAGCCCCTGTCCCTCTGTAACTGAGAAGCAAAAATAAAAAATAACTACCTGATCTAAGTGGAAACCATGGTGCTGGACATGCATCTCTGAGGTCACCCTGGGGAGTGGGGTCAGAGTCACTGGTGCCCTGGTCGCCCAGGAGCTGACCCTGAGCTCCATGCCAGCAGCTGAGGACTCACACCTCACAGAGACTCACCATGTGGATATTTTTCTCATCTGTGCTCCACTGAGTTCTGCTCCAGCTCAGTTTGAGTTTTTGTGCTGCAAAGTCTCCACCCACTGTGTTTGCATTGCCCCACCATGGCATAGCATAGGTAGAAAACATGGAGCAGGATAATCCTCTCAGGGCTTCTGCCCTCCAAGAGAAAGAAGAAAAGAGGGAAGGAAGGAAGGTCTGACCTGTGTCTTAATGCACCTGGAACACCACAGTGAGCACTTGAGCATAGAAAGCTAGGATGGCCAGGAAGGGCAGCAGCAGAACAGTAAGTCCACTCAGGAGGATAGTGTACTCGTACTGGGAGGTGTCCTCACAGACCAGTGGCAGCAGAGAGGGAACTTCACAGAAAAAGTGGTTAATGAGCCAAGAACCACAGAAGGGAAGCTGGAAGACATACAGTGTGTGTATTAAGGAGCTGACAGCACTGCTGACCATGCACACGTGATTAGGGAGAAGCAGATCTTCTTGCTCAAGAGCACAGCATAGTGCAAAAGACGACAGATGGCTACATAACGATCACAGGACATGAAGCCTAAGAGAACGGCTTCACATCTGCCAAGGCTCAGGAACATAAATGTGTGAATCTCACAGACCAGGAATCTGATGTTCTTGGTGTTCATCAGGAAGTTCATAGTCGTCTTGGGCACAGTGTTGGAGATGTGCATCATGTCGATGAGGGAGAGCAGACTGAGCAGGAAGTACATGGACATGTGGAGCCTGCTGACCACTAGGATGAGGTGGACTAGGGTGATGTTCCCCAGCACAGCCACCAAAAAGAGGAAGACAATGGCAGCAAAGAGAAAAATCATTCATGCTGCCATATTGGAAAAGACTGACAAGCATAAAGTCTGTCCCAGATCTGTCGTTTCCAGTTTTCATGCCTTAAATTGAGATATTAATGCAGATAATATATAAAACATCCATGGAATAATATAATTATTTTTTTAAAGACAAAAAGAACAATAGTTAAATACAACTGGTATTTCTGTAATTACTTTAGGTTAGAACACAATGTCTCTTACTAGGTACAATAAACCTGACTGTATTGAACTAAAGTTGTTTTTAATCATTTTTGAGTTTTACTGCAATTGGTATGTATAGTTATAGGTGTAATGGGGAACCTGTGGTGTTTCAGCTAATGTAGCAGTGAATGCAGATTAAGATGAGAAGACACTCATTTCTGTTCTTTGAACTGTGGGAAATTTTTTTTTAATTTTTTACTCTTTGGGACTTTACATTCCTCTTTTCAGATCTGTACAAATTACAATGGAAAGTGAAAATAAAAATGTGTACTGAAAGCAGAATAAATTATAAAGTAATTTTTAATCATTTTGGTGTTGTGTCTGCAAAAATTCCATTCTCCATTTGTGTGTACCTTAGGGTGGTGGATTAAATGGTTGTTCACTAGGGAAAACACTCTGCTCAGTTCTTTCCTATGAGTAACATTTTGTCAAATAATGGTTGCTGCATATTGGTGTAATTTTTAATAAAGCTATACTTAATTTTTGTTTTCCTTTTATTGGTTATAAGTAGGAACAAAAACTTAAGTAGTATTTATTTGAAGATGATACTGTAACCCCAATGACATATGAATTTATATGAATTATTTTTCTTGTAAAAATAGATAAAACTTCATCAGCTTGACCAACACATTAACCAAAATAAGGACGAATTTGAAATGAGTCATGTAAATTTAACTTAACATTTATTTACTTAACATTATTTACATTTACTGAAGCACACTGTAAAGATTGTTCAATTCAAAGATAACTGAATTTTTTGTTTCTGACATAAATTTGTCTTTTATACATTCTTCAGATAAATATTGCCTTCTTAATTACAGGTTTCATGTTCTAAAACTACAATGAGTTGTGGTGTGAAACATTATTGTCCACTCTCAGGATTTACTGGGTCTAAAATAAAGAAACATCATGGTGGTAATTTGTCATTTTCAAAAGATTATCTGGTTACCATATTTTGACAGAAAACCTTCATTGATCTAAAATATTCAAAACTGAAGGAGAAACCTTACTAAAAATAGGCAACAATTCAAGTATGTATGTTTTATATAAATTATGTTCTTTCTTTTTGTAGTACTCTGAAATATTTTCACATGACTAACAAGAAACATACAATAAAAGAAACATTTACTATGATAATGAAACATTGTATACTCTAAAAATATTGCATTAATAATGCTCCATATCACAAACTTATAAAATAAATATCATCAGGTGGTAGCTCTTAGTGAAAATCCATGAAAATTCAATCTATATTTCAAAGTTATATTTCTTCCAATGATACAATTGTTCTAATAAGAATATGGAAAAAAAAACAGACTGAGCTGAAAAGAATGGTTCACACTGTTTAAAAGGGTAACACAAAAGAAATGCAAAATTTTATATAGGTTAAGGAATAAAATGTGGGTATAATTGACCAAGATACAGAAAGAGGAGGGCAAAAGATTATAGTTTAATAGAACTGATACAACAGAATTAACTACAATGTCAAAATATATATCCTATATGACGTAAGTTATTATTCTGTTGAGAAAACTGATTTTTAAACTGGAATAAGATCTACAGTGTTTTATAATTATTGCAATAATTATTTCAAAGGTCATATATACCCCTCACTCCCATATCCAGGAGGAGAAGAAGCCAACCCTTGCTGGTTATGGGCTCCTCTCCACAGCCTTTAAATAAAAAGGTCACTTTTACTTTTTCTTGTATTCTACTTCTTTATTGCACTGGAAAACTCTGACCGTCATGAGCTGTTATTACTTTCCTACCTTTTGGACAGCAATCTTGATTACAGGACAGTTTTCTTGAGAATCATTTAAATATGAAATGCATCATGAGTGCAAACCCAGAAAACACAAACATGACAACTTTTCAAAGAGTAGTTTAAAGTGACGAGCACCTAGTAAAAAAGGAAAAGCATTTTAGAAATTATTAACACAAGGAGGTAATATCACATATTACAAAGTTGTCCTAAAAATTAGACTTTTGTGGATTTCATACGCAAAAAACCAAAAAAATTTTTATGTAATTATAACGCCTACTGAACGTCACTCAGTAAAACTTGTTGGATGTTTGAGAATATACATAAATGAAATAAACACAGTGGCATTTCTCTCTGTGTAACACCTCTTCCAGAGTTACAGAGCACTTCGAGTGTTTCAATAACCCTTTCAAAACCCAGAGAGGACTTCTGCACTATTTCCTGTGGGCAGGTAACATGCAGGGCTGTACTCTGGTCTTCCTATTTTCTTACAGTGAGCTTTCCTCTAATTTCTCCTATTGCACTAACAGTCTGGATACAAGTTAGCTGCTGCCAGTTTCAGGCTGAAAAACTGTTAAT